GAATATTTCGTAACTTCAATATCATTGCTGACCAATAGATTTTAAATGTGATGAATGGATTATTTAAGATTCATCAAGAAGATAAAGTAAACGAAGAGAAAGGTAAAGCAATAAAAATTAAAGTAATTGCTGTTAGAAATTGTTCAAATTAATTCAATTATTTCTATTAAAAATCGATTAATAAATTTATTAAAAAATAAATTTATTATTAGATATATAATTAAAATTGTAATTATTAATAAAATAACAAGAGTATGATCATGGAAAAAAATTATTTGTTCTATAATTGGTGAAGCTCTATTTTGGAGATTAAGATTTGATCAAGTTGCCATTTCTAAAAAAAGGGAACCCTTTATAAATGGGGTTTAAATCCATTACATATAATCTGCCATATTAGAATATACTTATAATAGGGAGTTCATTATATGAATGTTCTGCCGGAGGAAGGTTTTGGTATCATTCAATAGAAGAAGGTATATTTAAAGGAAAAATTACTATTCGTTGGTTAATTATTGATTCTCAAATAATTATTATTATTATAATTGTTCCAATTAATGAGATATAGGATCCAATTGAAGAAACAATATTTCAAGAAAGGTAATTATCTGGGTAATCAGAGTACCGTCGAGGTATTCCAGCTAATCCTAAAAAATGTTGGGGGAAAAAGGTTAAATTTACTCCAATAAATATAACAATAAATTGAATTTTTAAATAATAATTATTTAAAGTTAAACCAGTGAATAATGGGTATCAATGGATAAATCCCCCAATAATAGCAAATACTGCTCCTATAGAAAGAACATAATGGAAATGGGCTACAACATAATATGTGTCATGAAGAATAATATCAATAGAAGAATTAGCTAAAATTACTCCTGTTAATCCTCCTACTGTGAATAAAAAAATAAATCCTAATCTTCAAATTATTGAAGGTCTATAATTAATTTGAGTTCCATATAAAGTTGCTAATCAACTAAAAATTTTGATACCAGTTGGGACAGCAATAATTATAGTTGCTGAAGTAAAATAAGCTCGAGTATCAATATCTATTCCTGGCCTAAATATATGATGAGCTCATACAATAAACCCTAAAAGGCCAATTGCTATTATAGCATAGATTATTCCTAAAGTTCCAAAAGTTTCTTTTTTCCCTCTTTCTTGAGAAATAAATTACACCAAATCCAGGAAGAATTAAAATATAAACTTCTGGGTGTCCAAAGAATCAAAATAAATGTTGATAAAGAATTGGGTCTCCTCCTCCGGCAGGATCAAAAAAAGAAGTATTTAAATTACGGTCTGTTAAAAGTATAGTAATTGCTCCTGCAAGAACTGGTAAAGAAAGAAGAAGAAGAAGAGCTGTAATTCCAACTGCTCAAACAAATAGGGGTATTTGGTCAAATGAAAGTGAATTAATTCGTATATTGATAATAGTTGTAATAAAATTGATAGCACCTAAAATTGATGAAATCCCAGCTAAATGCAGTGAAAAAATAGCTAAATCTACAGAAGAACCTCTGTGAGCAATATTAGAAAAGAAAAGTGGGGGGTCTGCTGTTCATCCTGTTCCTGCTCCGTTTTCTACAATTCTACTTGAGATTAATAAAAGTTAGCATTAAAAGGGACTAGTCAATTACCAAATCCTCCAATTATAATTGGTATAACTATGAAAAAAATTATAATAAAAGCGTGGGCTGTTACAATTGTATTATAAATTTGATCATCTCCAATTAGAGAACCTGGGTTTCCTAATTCGGTTCGATTAAAAGACTTAAATGAAGTTCCAATTATACCTGATCAAACACCAAAAATAAAATATAAAGTACCAATGTCTTTATGATTAGTGGATAAAGTCATTTTCGCTAATAAAATGGCTGAGGTTAAGCGGTAAATTGTAAATTTATTCACGAGATATTTCTCTTTTATTAAACTTTATATTCAAATAATGATATAAATTGCAAATAAGCTATTAATTTGCGAGAGGTTTTTGAAATTTGTCTGGAAATCCTCTTAAAGAGCTAGGAGTGTACATTTAAGTAATATAACCCCCTAATAGAAATAAAACGGGAAGTTCGAAATTTATATAATAAGAAAGTAAAATTATGGGGAAATTTTTTGTCATGTTATTAAAATTAAACAATTTATTCATGTTAAACCTTCTATAATATTTGGGAATTGAAATGGAATGGGGTTGAACCTATTTTTATTAAAAGAGATGAGTTAATTAGGATGGAAAAATAATTATTAATTTCAAAATTTTTAAAAAATATTATTTTTAATAAAATAGAAAATAAAAAATTAATTGAAGCAATTGATTGAGTTAGAAAGTATTTTAATGAAACTTCAGTATTAAATAAATTTTTTCTACAAGAAATTAAAGGGATAAAACTTAATAAATTAATT